TAATCTTGTCTTGCACAGTTCCTTCGGTTGAAAGTGAAACATCATGGCTGATGCAAAAGGCAGTGTTGGAAACGTTTAGGTTTCCAGAGCGCATTGTTTGACTCCGTTTGTGTTTTGAGGAGTTTTAATGTACTTGCCTTTGTTTCGACGGCTCCCTCGTTGATTCGTTGATTTTTTGCTACCGTCTTCTCCTTGTGTGTTGACGCTGTGATACATTTCTTCTCTTTTTTTTCTTCTCTTACAACATTGTTTTTGTTGTTGTTGTTTTACTGTATTTTTACTCACTTGTGTCTATTGTTATGAAAATATTTGATTGATTAATCAATTAATTGATTTATTCAGATTGACTATATAAATAAGTGTTCTTTTTTTGGCATGCAGTTTTAAGTATCTTACATTCCTATCTATATTTGGTCGATGCACACCTATCAGTTTGCTAATACGATATGTTTCTGTATCAACACATGCAGATACAATACACATGGTTTCTTTATCAAAGTATAAGTACGTACATAATAAACATATTTTTGCTATCAACATGCATATAAATAAACGTGTTTTATTTTGCATTTCGTATTTTTCTTCTTCGTCAATATTAATACACAATAAGCACGTTTTCAAAAATCCTCGTTTCGTTTAAACACATAGTCTTTCACTTATACATTTATTAATGATCGTTTTCGTTTTATTCATTCTAGATCATCCATTCACAACCGTATTGCATTGTCCTGACATATCTTGTGATCAATTATAGTAACAAAATTAGCTTCCGTGTCCCAGCTGATGAAAGATTTCCTTCCCAATCCAGGCCGATTACTCGAAATTCTTCCGAGCCGATATAATTTCGATAAAAATGATGAAACATTTATGGAGTGCACTTACACTTAAGAAATTAATATATGGCACTTTATAGTATATTCGGTTCAGCATTAAGTCATACAATTCATTAGTATATACATTGTACCCATTGATATGTTTATAAATGATTTTTGGAGTAAACATCTGAGTCGAAACTACGACCTATTGCTGTATCAAAGATACCCTATCAGAATTACTATCGTATTCAAACTGAGCGGTTACCAGCAAATGTATATTGCCTCAAGATTTAGCACCTCAGATGCTGTAATTACCAAATACAATCCTTGTCTGAAAGAGCTGTTCAGCGTCATGTAACCGGATGATAGTCATTCTTGCAATGAAGGAGCAGCTGACTTACCTGCCGATACAGTTTTCTGTAAACCTTTCGTAATTCATTTGACGTATCGGATCACTATATCAGTTTTTGATTTATTTAAAAATTACACCCCTCCAAAAAAAATTATTATTCGTAGCATTACAAAAAGTTGCAATCGGTTGTGTTTCTTCTTAAAACTTCTGATTTTTCTATAGAATTTTCAATATTGTGTTTTTAATGTGTAAATGAAAGGTTGCGATAGGACTATGATATCATTAGATGTATCATCCCTTGACTTAATCTCAAGGTATCGGGGTAATATTGTATATAACTAAGGGAGTGGTATGATAGAAGTCATACGGTAACATCTCGTTATTAGTAAGGAAAGCCGTTAAACCTCAATGATGGTAAAAGTATGGAAAACATGAGCAGCTAATACTGCCAAACTAGGCCTAGGATAAGCGAAAGTGTCTAAACTGGGCCAATGTTGTAACATACTTACACCTTGATCTCTACGTTTGTGATCAGTTATGAAGACACACGCTCCCTGTATTTTATACAATGGTGCTCGACTCTAACCAAACCCGCCTCCGGATCAACATCCAATTGGTCAGTGGTGGGATGGTCTATATAAGGGCCTGTGACAGATAGTATACTAACGGCAGAGCGCTAAGGGAGTACACACAGCAACATGAACCTGTTCTTCCTTGTGACGGTGTGCGTAGCAATTCTGGCTTGTGACTTCACCCTAGGGGGTGTTGTTCGCAAAAACAAAGGTAAGCCTTAATTAGCACCTAGCAGCTACCTACCTCTTAACATTTACATACCCTTGTTACTCTCTGCTAACGTTATTTATTGTGATAAGAAAACATTTATGTTCAAATAATGCGTTCGTTAATATTTTTACTACCATAGCCCATGTTTAAAGCAAACTTATAAACATATTTTTCAGATTTCCATGGTTAAAAGCATATTTCTGATATTTTATTGTGCCCTTTTATGAGATCCTTTTCCAAAAACGAATGCTGTGCACACCTTGTGTATCGCGCAAATGAATAGATATCCTTGTAATTTGGACTTATATAACTAGTCGACTCCTTCACTACATGCCAGTAGATATTTTGATAATATGTTACAGACAAGAAAGACGAGTGTAGGGATAAACACATGGGTTGGGAGACATGTAAGGATCGGGAGGCTCTGTACGAGGACCCTGCCACTTTCTGTCAACACTACTTCAGGGAGTGCTGCAAGACATGTCGAGGTACGTTTCCGTTTCTTTTTTCGTTTTGTTACTTACAATTTACACTCTACCCTTTCTCTCGTTGTTATTGTATTGGTGGTTGATGTGTGAATCCATATATGTTATCATCGTTGTATCAGAGGTGAGCATGACAGTTTTTTTGTACGTGATTATTATATTATTCTTATGTAAGTGTTCCGCAAATATTTGTGTTAAAATAACGTCAGAATATTGGTATTATAGGTAGGCATGTGTATCTCTTCTCGTCATTATGATGGTATTGTGGTATTGTTATCTCCGTTATTTTATCATACGATATTGTGTATGTGTAGCCCCTACCTAGTTAGATTAAATCACTTTCATGTGCGCTAAACAATACAAGTATGCCTTTAAGGGAATGATTTGAGACCATCAATTCACTTTGATTATTTTGTTTGAGCTGCATTATATGTGTGTTAACGCATATTAGTTGAATCGTATTATTAACAGTTTGTGTGTGTTTGAAAACGGCAACTCAAATGCATCTGGTGGAACGGACTGTTTGCTTCCGTATATCGTTGTAAGTGTATTGATGGCACACTTTCTTATTTAAGTCTAACGTATATATATATATTGCCGTATCGGTGTAATGAAATGATATTGGTGGTACATATGTTTATTTATGTACGCGTTTGGACTTTTATTGAGATGAATATGTGGTTATATAGACATGAGAAAGCAATATTAACCGAGAAAAATTCGAGGTCAATATAACTTTGCAGGTTCATATAACAAATATTCACTGAATACATGTTTTGAATTGTATATATAAAAGCATCCTCAATATCCAGTGGTTACGCTCACTTTCACTCTCTGCACCCCTGTAATATGGCATAGCAAAATTTAATTAAAAAGGCACGAAGATAGCTGTTTGATTGGTCACAGGTAAAAAAAAACCCTGACCAATCGCTAGGCTGATACTTGTCCTTTGGCGATTACAAAGGAGATACGCCCGACTTCAAAGCCTGTCAATTTTTACCGTTACGTGACCGCGAAATTCTTTTGATGTATATCAAAGGATCGAACTAGTCTTCTTGTCACATCATCAAGGTGGCGTACACTGAGCCTTCACTTTCGCTGCGACATATTCCATGGGTGCAGAGAGCGAAAGTGAGCGTAACCCCTGGATGTCGAGGATGATATAAAACATGAAATTATGATGTTTTTACCATTACAAAAGACTGAGCGTAAGCGAATCGTTAATAGACGGGCACTACGTTTGGCAGAGAGCATTGTGACGTTACAATTGATGTGACGTCTTAAAAATAATGGTGTTTCTAAAAATGGTAACGTCGAATTAATTCCACAAAGTACTGACCTCCACGTGATTATGATTCAACCAATGAGAATGTAGGAAAATGGTGTCTTCTAGAATTGTAATGATATTGATGGGCTATGTTTCTGTACGCCAGTATAATGATATTAATGGGCTTTGTTTCTGTACGCCAGTATAATGATATGGATGGGCTATAATTCTGTGCGCCAGTATAATGATATTGATGGGCTATGTTTCTGTACGCCAGTATAATGATATTGATGGGCTATGTTTCTGTACGCCAGTATAATGATATTGATGGGCTATGTTTCTGTACGCCAGTATAATGATATTGATGGGCTATGTTTCTGTACGCCAGTATAATGATATTGATGGGCTATGTTTCTGTACGCCAGTATAATGATATTGATGGGCTATGTTTCTGTACGCCAGTATAATGATATTGATGGGCTATGTTTCTGTACGCCAGTATAATGATATTAATGGGCTTTGTTTCTGTACGCCAGTATAATGATATGGATGGGCTATGATTCTGTACGCCAGATAATGATATGGATGGGCTATGTTTATGTACGCCAGTATAATAATATTGATGGGCTATGTTTCTGTACGCCAGTATAATGATATTGATAGGCTATGTTTCTGTACGCCAGTATGATGATATGGATGGGCTATGTTTCTGTACGCCAATATAATGATATTGATAGGCTATGTTTCTGTACGCCAGTATAATGATATGGATGGGCTATGTTTCTGTACGCCAGTATAATGATATGGATGATACACATGTGTGTTTTTGTACGTAATTATAGTGGTATTCGTGACAAAAATGTGCGATTCCTCAAGTCGTGGAAGCTGTGTTGCTGGTATATGTGTATGTCTGTATTCTTTTATAGTGGTATTTGCAGTATGTGTGTGTGATTCCAAGTGTCATTAAAACGATCATAGTTGTATACAAGTATATATGGATGTTTTTTATTTCACAGAATATGAGGCGGCAAGTGAATCACTGGTGGAGAGGGTCCTGGAAGATCTGTTGAAAATAGAATCACATGAATAGCACACCTACAAGTGAGGAAAGAGACCCTGCAGTTGAGATGTGTACATCTTCATTGTTATTTAAATTTTCAGCATTTAATTGATATTTGTATATAAGAAATTACCCGAGGACGCTTACAATGTATAAAATTGTAATACAAGTTATATTTTGAAACGAATTGTGCGTTTTGTTACTGTTCGCTGATAACTAATGGTACATTGATATAAGGGATGTGTACAAGTTTGTAGATTATTTTTATATATGTAATTTGATAATCTTGAACGAAAGTCTACACGTATGTAGACCGTCTACTTAATGTTTGGAAAGCAAAAAGTCTGTTTTTTTAGAGATCCGTCTTTGCAGTAAATGGTGCACGAAATATGAATTTTCATATTAAACTTGCTCAACACTCGATATGCATATATTGGAAACCTAAACTTGCATAGCCATGTTGAACTTATTTTAGACACTCCCTGAATAGAGCCAGCATTACTAGTAAACTGATTGACAACCTGGTTAAGCGTATGGATAAAGGGTAGAGCAACGAACTATCCAAACTGGCTGACATTACAAAAATGGACCATAAAGTACCGCATCAGCAGCATGGTTAGGGAAGAAGGCCTGTGCCGCCAATGTATTGATTGGCCTGTTGCAACAACAACAAAGCAACGAGTTTATTTCTTGGCTGCCACTATTTACCCTCGAACTATCTTTCTCAAAATATATAATCATGATGAATATCACATTCTAGTTTTCTTTTGGGACTACATTGACATAAAATGACAATTAAGTATAACTGAAACTGCAGTCAATTCGGGAAGCATGTCATAAGCGTGTTCAGAGCAGTATCGTACTTCATAGTGATACTTTCTGATTTCCTTTATGAATTGATACATTAATTCCTGCGATTCGCATGCACTAGAAATCACTAGACAGGGGAAAGTATTTCATCGGGATAAAAGCTATGGATGGTGTACCGGGAGCAAGGCAGGACCTCGTGCGGCGTAAGGCAGTATAGAGTCGAATTCTTGTTGTTCAGGAAGGCAGACATCATTCCGAACCCACTGTTTGTCAGTATTAGAACATCACATTTTGTGAGTACAAAAAAATCCAGTACAGTTTTTCTGAAAGCACTGACAGATCCATCTCCACTAGCATGTCGGTCTGTGTTTACGATTCGTCCTTTGGTTTCCAGGAGGTTTTTGAATAGCTCTTTTGCCGTATTCTGCACGGATTGTGCATCTGTCGCCACAAAGATGCTGTAATTGTTCTTTGTCATTGTCTTTAACAAGTTCCAGACGTGTTTAAGCTGTTTCTTGTCCCTGTGTTTTTCACCTCCAATTTTTGTGTTACTTCCTTCCATACTGATGTGAGCGCATGCAAGTTTTGTAACATTTTGTACAATCTTATCCACTGCTTCAGTGATAACCTTTGTAGGTTTGAAAAGTGTGTTGAAAAATTGTAAATAAATATCAGCAAAGTGTAATTCTAGCACCCATGGAATAACACGAGGTAAATTTTCAAAATATCTAAAATAATTGGTGTAATCCCAGTTCATACGCACAAAATTTACGTCATTTGTGAAAAGATTATGAAGACTTTTTAAATTATTTTTCTTGATGGCACTTGGAGTTTTGGAAACCAAGTTCTGATAGTCCCAAGACCTTCCTGCTAGTATTGACGAGTTATATCTCCAGTCAGTTGAATTCGGGATAAGAAAATCTGTCAAATTACAGGATCGTGTATATCTTATGAGGAAATGTTTATTTAGTAAAACGGAAATGACGTAGGCACTGAACATGCCAGACATGCGCTCTGACCAACTCCCACAGGGTCCCGGGTTCTGGTCACCACAATCATAAACAATGTATCCCTTCAACCGGGGCGTTTCTGTCGTAACCGGTGGGCCAGGTAACAAATCATTGCTTGTTTGAACACTTTCTTGATAATTGGACGTGACGGATGGCAGCCATGTTGTTATTGACATTGTATACCCAGTCATGAGCGACATCAGAATCAGGACTGCCAAACTTCCTATACACATGTACGAAGTCGTTTTCTTCTGTAAAAAAGATACAAATTGCAAATGTTTTGGAAACGTACGTTTACGATAATATTTCAATTACACGTTAAGGTAGTCTTTTGGTTTATTATCCTTGATACAATATGTCGACATGAAAAAATAAGGTACCTTATGTTCCCTGAAAAATGTAAATGATAACTTCATGGAAAGTATCATATTATGGTATTGTTGTGAGAGTTCAAACATTGCTGTTCATGCGTATAATTTGATATGTCAACGATTCGTGGTTTGCATTATACGTATATAGAACATACCAGAGTGTTTAAAATAATATGTTACTTTTACCAGAATACGCAAAAGATATCCCTGCGTTATCTGGTCTGCGACCGACTGACCCTTGTTAGCCTTGGTACATTTCTTGCTCCCACAAAGAACGACGTACCACCTTCCGTGTGTATAATGTACTCGGGCACCAGATGTAACAGAATTGCGGAAATTAATGGTATTTCCGAACTCGAGAAGGATGTTCCAAACAAATTTGGTATTTCTTCTTACTAATGATCGACCGAGTCTAGTTTCGCTATATTTAGGAAGGTTTGCTTTGTCAAACACTAAAAGTAACATGTTTAGTAAAACGTTTATCTTACTGAATGGAACAATGTGGTAAACAGACATCAAACACAATGAATGAAGACACCCACAGTATGAACAATGGCGTCGGTAAACAGTAAGCTTACTATTTGTAGCACACCAGATTCTACAACGAAACTAGTGCACGGTCAACCAACTGACTACTTGACACATTTCACACAACACATGGTCCAAATGCTGGGCAGGACAGTACTCTCTTACGCAATTACCAATAATAATGTACAGATGTGTATACGTACCATTTCAGATTTTGCCGGAAACACTTATTTAGACATATCCTCAGCACCACCGTTAGTTATACCGACTGGATGGCAAACGTTTCCTCGGTACCAGCGTTATTTACCAAAATGACAAGTGTTCATATAATCCAATACACACCAATGTTTACCGATATCATGACCAGAGTAGTAATATACCCGGCACCATTGTTGGTTTGCAATATACTTGCCGGTCACTGAACACATCAAGCGAGCAGCATATATGTATATGAGGGCTGGTAGCCTGCTTGTTTAAAATATCTTATAGCGCGTAACAAGAGACGGTATTCTTTAAATACACGTATTAAGTGATCTGTGTAGTTAAATGGCTACTATTGTCCATTAATGATCTCTTAGGGTCATCCATTATTTGTTATAAGTAGAATTCTTTCTTGTAATAAAAAAATATACTATGTCTTAGTTTTTACACGATGTGTATTTCCAAAAAATAAGTAAAACAATGTATAATATTTAATAAGATAGACACAGTTTTGTTTATGTATATGTGTACACTATCCGGGCCTCGAACTCACTACTTACGGCATAGCCGACAACACATACCAGCAGTCTCTACCACTAAACCACCCCACCTTCCAATAAAAGAAGATTTCGATGTTGCAGTATTTACATGTATAATTACCTGATTTACAATGTGTTTTTTGTAGAACACTGGATATTTGATTTCTCATAATTGTGTAAATCTGCCATTACTATCCTGAAATGGCATTAGCCGCAATAGATATTATTTTAAACAGAAAGGAGAATTGTTTTGTTAGATATCACACTGTAAGCAAGAGAGAAAAATATACCATGATGTATTACTTGCACGATATTTTGTTTTGACAAACAACACCTTTGTTGAATTTGACGGAATATAATTTCCTAAATGTGAATTATCTGTGCACCGCTTTTAGCTGATCGTTTTTGTATTCCCATTAAGATGAGTTTATTATGTCATTTTGACATTTAATGATTATTTATAAATGCATTATTGATGATTTTGTCCTTGAAGAACAAGGAGGTTTAGAATATAGTTCATCTAATGTGTCGATCAGAATTTAAGATTAATGATACGATAGACTTTTCTTTATCAATACCATATCCTGACTTTTAATTTATGAAAATGATGGTTACCTCAATTAACGATTAATATTTGAAGAAATCTGAAGTTACTGAATACTAAAGAGTATGAACTTAAGATATTTGGACCGAAACTTCCTGTTCAACATTAAACAATAATAAACATATCTCGAGGATACGCTAAACTTTGGCAACCTTACCGCTCTGAATCTGATATGAGCTGCACTTCTAAACGTCTAATAGTACTTCCTATACATCGAGAGGTAGAACAGGGCTGGAACCCGATCACAGAACCATCTTAACAGAGGTTTGCTCCTAGGATCGAAGTGGTTGAAAATTGTTGGCATTTGTGTTTTTAAAATAACAACTCGACTTAGGATATATAATGCAAATGTCTATTTTATTAGCAACTTATTATATTACATATCATACAATATCTTGTAATGTAATAAAATATTAGCAAATAAGCTACAATACCAATCACATAATAATCTCGTGGGGTGTATTATAACTCACAGAGCAGGATCAATTGGATGTTAATCTCGTGGGGTGTATAATAACTCACAGAGCAGGATCAATTGGATGTTAATATCGTGGGGTGTTTTATAACTCACAGAGCAGGATCAATTGGATGTTAATCTCGTGGGGTGTATAATAACTCACAGAGCAGGATCAACTGGATGTTAATCTCGTGGGGTGTATTATAGCTCACAGAGCATGATCAATTGGATGTTAATCTCGTGGGGTGTATAATAACTCAGAGAGCAGGATCAACTGGATGTTAATCTCGTGGGGGGTATTATAACTCACAGAGCATGATCAATGCGAAGTAATATGATACAGAACAGATTCCAAAACACATAAACCTAGGTAGAACACATTACTTATAATGTGAAAATAGGGACTGACCCTTTCTCTACTACGATTGTAAAACTAAAGAAAATCCTTTCACTAATTGCCATTCTTTTTCTATATGGTTAACCAGGTCATCACTAAGCTAAATCACCCCAGACTTCGTAATACTGCTTTATCTTAATGTAAACTGTAATACTGCTTTATCTTAATGTATACTGTAATACTGCTTTATGTTAATATATACTGTAATACTGCTTTATGTTAATATATACTGTAATACTGCAGCAATTTAATTCTCCTCTCAAACCAAAAATACCATTTTTCTGGATGTTACATAAGTTTTTCCTCAATATACAAAGACCCTAGTTAATACATTCTATGGAAGACGAGACCCAGATGAACTCAGCTCCATAAGAATGAAGCATTAACGGAAATGTATTGTAGATTGTTCAACAGACGAGAAAAAGTTATTGTAGTTCACTAATGGAGTTCTGAAGATACGCATCGTGATTATCCACAACGTGAAGGTTAATTAGACGTTCGTAGAGCTTTCGAGTTTCCAGTGAACTACACAGGGGAGAGTATTTGGGTAGGATAGAAACGTTGTAGAGTATACCGGGAGCAGGGCACGACCTCGTAGGGCGTTAGACAGTACAGATCGGAACTCTTGATGCTCAGGTAGGCGGACATCATGCCGAATCCACTCTTCGTCAATAATAAAACATCACATTTCGTTAGAACAAAAAAATCCACAAACACTTTCGTGTAGCCGCCAAACAAGCCATCTCCTCCTGCACGCTGATCTATATGTAGGATTCGCCCTTTGGTCTCCAGAAGGTGTTTAAATAACGCTTTTGCTGTATTTCGCACGAACTGAGCGTCTGTCGCAATAAAAATGCTATGATTAGTCTCCTCCATTGTCTTTAGGAAGATCCAGACGTGTTTAAGCTGTTTCTCTTCCGTATGTGTACTATCCCAAATTATCGTGTCACTTTTGCCCATACGGATATGGGCGCATGCAAGTTTGGTAACATTTTTTACAATCTTGTTTACTGCTTCCGTGATGATTTTTGTAGGTTTGAAAAGTGTGTTGAAAAATTTCAAGTATATATCAGCAAAAGGCAAATCTGAAACCCAAGGGATAACTTTCTTTATACCTTGAAACTCTCTGAAGTGTTTAATGTAGTCCCAGTTTATACGCACAAAATCGACATCCTTAGTAAAAAGATGTTTAAGACTTGTTAAATTCTTTTCTTTGATAGCATTAGGTGTTTTACAAAAGAAATTATGATATTTCGATGACATATCTACTAACAAAGACGAGTTATATTTCCAGTCAATTGAATTTGGAATAAAATAATCTGTTAAATTAAAGGAACGTGTGCATCTGACGAGAAAATGTTTATGTAGTAAAACGGAAATGACGTAGGCACTGAACATGCCAGACATGCGGTCTGACCAACCCCCACAAGGTCCAGAGTGATGGTCGTCACAGTCATAGACAATATAACCTTTCAACCGAGGCGTTTCTGTTGTTACCGGTAGGGCGACCAGAGAACTCGCGTTCGTTTTACATTTTCCCTCGTATTGGGCTGTGATGGACGGCAGCCATTGTTTTGAAGGAAGTTCATACCCAGTCATTAACAAGATCAGCAGCATAACCGACAAACACAATATGCAGAAGTGCAATTTTATGTTTTTCTGTAAAACAAAAGAATATGCAGAATTTAATATCAATAAGCGAAATTACCACGGGGATTTAACTAGCTGGAAGTCTACACTTATACGTAAAAACCTAAAATAAATAGGTGTAATATATTGTCAAATATGGTATCATTAGGTTAATGTAGGGTGAAGCAATAGATGCAATTAGCATGGTACGAAAAAGGAGGAATTTTAGTTCAGAATATTTGAGTTGTAATATGTACTGTGAAGTCACAGCATGTTGATCAGGTCAGTGTACAGGACTCGTAACAAAGGGTTCGGAACACCACGATAGGATCTTCCTTAATACTATTCTTTTATATATATACGTACAAACCTAAAATATTAATATATATATATAAGAAAACACACCTTATAAGTACAAACCATATAAATATACAACATATCCATGAAAATACATATTATAGAAAACACACCCATAGAAATATATTACTATAAAGCATACCCATATAAATACATACCATTTCTACAGACGGCCCGGAACCACTTAAATGGTGCCAGTTAGATATATCCTCGACACTGCCATTGTTTCACGATACAATGAACAGTCACTGATCTTACTGGGCAGGCACAATACGTGTAGGTAAATGTAACAGTGCGTTACACGATCCTAATAATACATCAGCTGATCAGTGTATACAAGTGGTTCGTAATTAAAGAATTGTTACATTATATACTTGATCCATACTTAGTATTTAAGTTTTATTTATTCACTCCGACACACTTACGTGTGTAACAAGAGGTCACATACATATCGTAAGTATGATACATGGCGTGTGATGTACACAATTACAACATTGTACATAGCATAGATACATATAGAAGTACACAAATAGTACAGAAATTAAGTTAATATTTTTTCAAGGTTTTCTATGAATTTACAAAGTTTTGTGTAAATTTTTACATTAAATATATTAAACAATCCTTGCATTTTTAATTGACTTGGATAAGTGAATTAATATTTTGGTATATATTTCTCTCTTAGACATTTAACTAAAACAGTTTCACATATAAATAAGTAATGAAATTCATCTCCAATGTACAAATTACATAATGTACAGGTTCTTTCTTGACGAGGAATACCTAACCATCTTCCTTTTTCTATGGGTAAATGCATATTGCAAGAACGGAATTTACACATTATTTTCCTATCATTTGTATTAAGTTTAATTAAATATTTTTCTTGTTCAAACTTTGTCTTTAATATTGAATATGTTTGTCCTCTAGAGGAGTTAAGAATATTATCAAACCATTTCTGTATAAATTGATCCTTCAGTCTACTTTTCACAAGCCTCTTAATTTCGTCTTTTGAAAAAGAACATGTAGATTGATAGTACCACACATAGTTCAGGCCAGTTTGAGAAAAAATATCTTTAACATATGCGAGCCATTTAAATAACATAGTTCCATTTTCATGTAATGTATACATAAGCTTATAAATAGTACTTGATAACTTACTAGAGGTAATCAACTTATGCCAGAATACTATTATTCTACATTTAATTTCGATGTCTAGTGGGTATCTTCCAAGCTCACCATAAACAATGAAATTTGGTGTACTTTTTCTTACATTTAGTATATATTTACAAAATTGAAGATGGATTTTTTCTATAATATTTGTGTTTTCAAAACCCCATATTTCTGATGAATACAGAAGAACTGGCATAATTAATGAATCAAATATCTTCAATTGTAGATCAACTGGTAAAGATATGTTTCTCAATTTCTTATAGACAGCAAACACTGATTTCTGTGCTTGTTCAACAATTTTTTTCCTTGCTTTAAAGAAGCTACAACTAAAATTAAAGAATAATCCTAGATAGGTATACCCTTCCAGTATTTCTAATTCTACGTTACATAATGTAAAATGGGGAGTTCTTGCACATTTTCTTTTTGAAAAGATGACAATTTTAGTTTTTCCTGAATTGATAGTTAACTTCCAGTACTGTAGTGGTAGAGCTACGGACGGTTAGGACAATATGAAGGCCAAATAATACCAACAATATGATAAGGAAGTCAATAAGGACAGGTTAATTTTCTTTTTCTTATTAAGAATGTGTCCCTACATAGGTGAAAAATAAATACCCGTAAAGTTTTCTTAGCTTTGCCGTTTTTTATACATAACATATACATTTTCGTTTTTTTTGAGTGTTTTAACTTATGGATACTATTTGACGACTTTTATTTTGTTCCGAGACGAAAGAGGGTCGAGACGTTCTGTATCAATATGCATGCTTTTAGATCACTGAAGATTCCCCCCCCCCCCCTTCTAATGAAAGTTCTATAAAACTCCCAACACCTTATTGTAAATTAGAAAAAAAGTAGATTTAACTAATTATAATTATTGTCCAATATACCCTCTAATTACGTGTGGCCACAGCATTGTTAATATTAAAAAGTGCGAATATATTAAAGCCCAATTTATCAAGTCTGAATTATGTACAAGTCGATCAAAATTGGACCGTAGAACTACTTCAGAGGTAGTTCATCATTTTTGGGATGATTGTCAACAGCGCTACTTGTCTTACCCCCCATAATCAAGAACTCTCCTTTAAATGAATTGAATACATATACAAGTATTGTCCCGTTTACAGATTAGGTGTAATGGCCTTCTGATTTTGAGGGATGACATCATTGAAAATGCAAAGGTGATTGAAATTGACGGTTACCTTTTCCTTTAATTTAGAGATAATTAAAGCCTTTATTTTCATTTATACGAATCGCCACAAAATGTTACAGGCAAGGAAGAATGTCTTCAGAGAGCAAGTAACACGGAAGGTTAGGAAGGAACACAATTATTTGTTGAGGATGGAGAAATACCAGAATATCAGCATTCACACATGCACGAGCAACAGCGCGGGATAGTGATTAGACCGATGCTGCCGCTACTTCTACAATAGACAGCTAAAAGAAAGACAACTCTTAGGAAAACATGGTTCAGCAAATGTTAAATTCATACAACACATGTAGCGCTAAGCTTGGAACGATTTTGCAAAGTTTTGGAACCATGCTTGCATTGATACTTTTCATATGTTATAATCTATAAACAATACTGTTACGAGACGTCACTTTGGCTAGGGGTAATAAGGCGTAATGAAAAAGAATATATGAGTTATAAAACCTATAACACTTGTGGGAGAAATGTGTGTTCTTCAATGTCACGTTTATCTCGACTGTTAAACAAAGAAATTAAACGACAAAGGCATAACGACTGAGGTTTGAAATCAAGGTTAGAGGGTCCGGATCGAGGTGGAAACCCGTCACTCTGATAGTGTTTATTTCATTATAAACGTACTAGTTAAATTTGCACTTTTGAAATTAGTAAACTTCAAATAATTTGTGAAACGTAAAATAATTATTTCTAGTCCGCTCCAAAGGAACAATATTTTAGCAAAAGGTACTCATCATGAGTTTTTCGCAGTCAGCCTGCCACTTTTTTTAAATATAAATGTGGTTGACGTCAACCACGTGCCGAGACCCGTGGTGTGATTGGCTGGAAGTGCAGCCATTTTTTCGCCAAACCAACCAACACTGCATGTTTTAACACGGACTGACGTCAACCTCGTTAATATTAAAAAAGGCTGACTGCGAAAAATTTCGAGACTAGACATGTTGTTTTTGATGCAAGAAAGTTAGGTGGGGGTCAACATTCCGACATCGAAAGCTTTCCTTCCTTCTCCTATAAATGATCATTGTGGGTGTCATTTTTACGGAAAGTCGATATAAACCCCTAAAACATGTAAACTTACTCTGAACATCTTAGCAATCTTTTATATGTAACGGTAGGTGGATATAGCAACCTTTTATATGATTCTGTTGAAAAAATTGGTGTTTTTTTCTTGACTCAAAAAACTGAAATTACATCTTGACTGGCAATGACAGTGACATATAGATCTGGTGGAATCCAAAATTAATTTCGCTCTTTACATTTTATGATTACATATCGTATTTTGTGTAATACCACGGACTTAGATAACTAATCTAGTTCCGTGGTAATACATGTTATACTTGCTGTCAGAATGACTTCGCCCTCGTTATGGAGGACAAGAAGGGAGAAAGTGTCTAGGTGAAAAATAAAGAGAAAATTGATGTCATCTGTTCAGGACCATTAAAGCATTTGGTATTATTTATAACAGGTTTTTTTTAAAATTGTCGTCCTGTGAGTTAATAAGAATGTCCCAGTCAATAAAAAATAGACTTCAATTTTCGATTATGAATTGGTCTAAAAAGAACAGTAAGTCAAGAAGACAAAGAGGGAACTTTCTAAAAAGATTTGTCCATTTCTGAAAGTCAACGACTTAAAATACCAGATTCGAATCATCGTACCGAATATGAAACACCATGAATATGTCGGCTTGAAGTGTGTCAAGGCTAGTGTCAAGTTATTATCGCAAAGATACACTCCAGTCCGACAGTCAAGTGTCACACATTTTTGTTGTAATCTATCCCAGATGCAAGAGATGTGATGCTGCGACCGCGTTTGTTACGGCACGATTTGTCTAATCAGATTGCGTAATGTAAGTCGGATAACGATTACCAATAATTTTGCTACATAATAAAGGTTGTCAAACCGGTCATATTTTGGTAACCGGTTACTCGAATAATCTTCCGATTGAGTAACCGGTTACTCGAATAATCTTCCGATTGAGTAACCGGTTAATCGGTCAATTTTGTAATCAATAATAAACAGCAACAAACACAATAAATGTTTAGAAAATGTTCCATCTAAAACGTATATTAATTAGCATGATAGTTTACTCGCGTATTTCAAGCTAAACGCAGGAAATAGTTGCATTTAACATCGGTAAGTATATTTCATGGACAACGAATGTCGGAATGCAGTAAGACGGGATTCAATTACAGTTATCTGTACTCGGTATGCGGTAATGCTGCTCTTTAGAAAAACATTTGCTTGACAAGCGTTTTAAGCCATGATTGCTCATTCAAGTGTGTACATTTCAGATAATATTCACATCTCGCATGAAAAAAACGCGTTATATCTCTTAAAGTTTAAATTTCACAACTTTATATTCTGGCTTCCTTTTAAAATCTGTTCAGATTTTTTATGGTATTGGCCGGCATCTCTTTGTCAGCATTTGCAATAGAGTACAACATTAAAACTAACATGTACTACCTGAACACAGTTTTTATTACAAAACTATCCGATTTTGTTCGCATCTATAGATACTTTGTAAGTCTACGCCAGGGAAACCTGGGGCTCCCCATAGGGGTTAATACATGTCCGACTATTCGGTTATTGATTTTGGTAACCGGTTCGTGGTTTTCCGACCGATTAACCGGTTAACCGGCTAACCGTTGACAACCCTGATTATAATCCATTTCAGTAAAAAAAGCATTACAACAAATAATCCCAGCATAACGTTATGACATCACGTATAGTCAATGAACAATTCATTGCATAAATGCACATCAAGACATCAGACACACACAGCCTGCAGAATTATTTGTTTGGTTTCATATAGATCTGTACCATAGAAAATACTTCTGTGATATGCAAGAGGGGTTGAACATATTTGAATGGTATTATCGCAGAGGACCCAGCGTGTGCTCGTGAAGTAATCTCCAGAAAT